GCACGCGGCCTACTATAATCACCACCCGTTAGACTCTAGTCAAGACTCCCCGAAGTAATTGGCAAGGCTAAGTGATGATGCTTCAAAGTTTAATGTGAAAGCTTAAAAACACAAGTAAGAAAGCAAGTAAGAAGATATGTAAGAGAGAGTTTACAAATGTGTGGATGATGCAAAAATAAGGGGGAATATCCCTATTCGCAGTCCTCCTTACAACCTAGAGACTTCCTATCTAGAATGTTATTACCCTCCTCAAATGGAGGGTTCTACATACACAAGTCATAGAGACCTATACACAATTCTAAGTACTTCTCTCTTATGTACAAGATGCTAGAGAACTCTATACAATTCTAGCTCAAAGAGTATGTAAAAGATTGCCTTAGAGAGTTCTAGAGGCCAACAGTCATTTCTTGAACCTCATACTGCAATTTTGAATTTTCCAAGCCCCACCTTCGAAAACTGACTTCACCATGATCATTGGACCCTAAAACGCCAGACCCCAAATTTGGGTCCATTTGGACTTTATTTGGGCCTCCAAACACTGCACTATTGTGTTATTGTAAATGTGGTGTTCACTTAGAATATAAGAGGAAGCAAAGCGCTGACTTGGTTGACTGCTTGGGTAAAGCTAAGTATGACTAAGTCGGGGTATTGAGCAAATCAATGTAATTGAACAAATCAAGGTAGAACTAACAGCGTAATGTATTTTTTAATCTCGGCCTAATGTGTAATTGAGCAAATCAATGTTTTTAATTTGCTCACTTAGGGGGCAAATTGGAGAATTTTTAATTTTTCACTTTGGGGGCAAATTGGAGATTTTCTAATTTCTAAGCCTGATGTCGGCACGTCCCGCTCTTTTCATCTTTACAACCTATGACAAGCGAGAACGCCACACATATGTCCTCACTTGGGGGGGGGGGGGGCTAGTTGTACGGGATAGTGCCGACACCGTTAGGATTTGTCCACTAAAATACGTTACGCTGTTAGTTCTCCATTATTACGTATATCGGCGTACTCTCCATAACGGCCTTCATCACGACCACGTGGAGAGCTGCTTCCCACCACATAGGCACCTGCTGTCTATGAAGTCAACTTGCCACCTATGTCGATAGGTGGCACTAGCTTGGTTGTTTTCTTATAAATACCCAAGCATAATTCATTATTAAGGTACGATCTTTATCTCTCTAACTCTCTATCTCTCTCTCTCTTAAACACTCTCTCATCTCTTCTCTATTCTTCTCATCAAATTGCTGACGTTAGCACCAGAGCGGTTATCCCCGGGTTAGCTAATTTGCCATTCGTACTTAATTGGTTGATAAACCGTTAAGGATCCCAAGACTCAAGTACCGTAGCTCACCGGAACAGTAAGTGCTCATAGCCGAAGAGGATGAGCATAAAACGGCATGCGTCATTCGCTATGGTTCGTATGAGTTCTTAGTGATGCCCTTTGGATTCACCAACCCCCCTCTACATTTTGCACTTTGATGAACAAGATCTTCCAGCCCTTATTAGACTAATTTGTTGTTGTTTATCGCGATGACTCCTTATTTGGACTCACCACGTAGATCATGATGGAGCATGACAAGGTGAGCTCCATCGTTGGGTGGGAGCCCAAGAATTCGGATGAAAGGTGTCAAAGGGCCTTTGATTATTTGAAGAAAGTAGTCACCGAAAAGCCCGTCTTAGCACTGTCCAACTACTCAAAGCCATTTGAACTTCACACGGATGCCGTCGATTTTGCTATTGGAGGGGTGCTCAAGCAAGAGGGTATCCCATAGCCTACGAGTCACGCAAGCTCAATGATACCATAAAGAGGTATCCGCGGCACGACAAAGAGATGACAACAACCATTCACTGCTTGCGGATTTGAAGGCACTACTTGCTTGGGACTAGGCTCACCATCTACACCGACAACATTGTAACAAGCTACTTTCAAAATCAAAAGAAGCTAAGCCTCTCGGTGGCAAGACTTCTTGTGGTGTTAAGGATTGTTGGCCCATGACTAGCATCAAAGGGCCCTTGTTGCCTCGAGTAACATCCATCAACTTGGCCTAATCTCATTATTGGACTAATAAAGTGCCTTAAGTACAGTTCCAACAAAGCATTGGGGTGAAAGCTCATGGAGAAGTGAAGACCTGATTCAAGAAGCTTGAATAACTCCGTCTAAAATTCCCAGTTAACTTGGTTCACGCTCGCCGATGATGCTTCTTGGCAAGCCCTAATATTTCACAATATGCTTGAAAAAGAGCATGGCTGCTTACTAAGCTGTATAATCCTTGGGTGCCGGTATGTAACTCTCA